GCCAAATTCACAGCATTACTCTTCCACTCTTAAATGTGGAGAGACCCTCTATTTCTTTGAAGCTGTTTAGAGCCACAGCATGCTGGCTCTGAGTTACTTTCCCCATCCAAAGAACAGAAGTGGCATTCAGTATTGACTGGAAAGGCCTTCCACTTGATTACAAAGTGGGTCCTAAATCAAAGACCTTTATTTAATTATCTCTGACATCTGGTCCAAACACCAAAGTTTGCTACTTAAATAACAAAACGGTTAAGTAAGAGGAAGTCAAAGAGCCAGCAATCTTTGGTCAAACACACCCAGCTGAAAGGCTTGACTTTGAGCTGAAGTTTTTATATGAACTGGCTCATAAGGAAACCATCAAATTAAGTAGAAAATTTACTTACTTTTCCAAAGTTGTCTGTGTGCTCCTGATAGTCTGAAGTGTCCTAAAACAGCAGATAGGAGAAGTTTAGCTTTGTATTCTGATCTGAGCTCATACAGAGAGAATCTGGTGATACTCACAATGTTGCTGTGGTGGGCTTTGGTCATCAGCAGCATCCTGCCAACTAAGTCTGTTGTTGAAACTCCCTGGGTTCGCTTGCATTCCCTGTAACATCACGGCACAGTATGTAACTTTAAAAAAAAGAAACATCCCACCCTGGCTATGCTTATTTGGAAAGGAAAACTCACCTGTACCGTCCTGACTTCTTCACCTCTTCATATGTATCTTTTCCATCCACAGTTAATGTTATATCGTCTGAAAGAACAGCATACGTGAGTTCTTCTCTAAACTTTAGAGAAATACAGCCGCCTACGACTCCAGCTGCGTGTCTGAATAAGGGCGTAGGGCGATGATATTCCATACCTCCGTGCACACAGAAGTCACAGTTGTACTTGTCGAGGGTCTCGAGGGTGGTGACATAAGGAGCTCCTTGCACGACCTCGTCCACCCATTTTATGGCCCGCACCATCTTATATCTTTCTTCCTGAGTGAAGACTGGTGGACCCTTGTGCTTTGAAATCTCACCTTGCAAACAAAAAATAAGTAGAGTGATTGAGACACTCGTAACAGATGCATTTCTTCTTAAGTTGAAAGAAAGGTTGGTGCTATCTGTGCCGTCAAGGCATTCTGTGTTATCACAATGTCAGAGTGCCCCAGTGCACTCTGTGCACCACAGGAGGGTGGGGCACAGCTAAGGCGCCCTGCTACTGTCACAACAACTCTTTCCAAGTGCAGTGGATGCAGCTGGTGCCTGACTGGTAATGACAGGACTGAGGAAGATATACAAGCCCTGCAGGTGCTATGGTAAGGAGAAACAGTAGAATGCACAGTATAAGCTAGACTATGCATAACAAATGCAGACAGAGGGTTTCTGTTACACATGTACATGTGTAAGGGACACGTATATGTGTACATTATTTTGAGCCTTACTGTCTGTGTGTACTCCAACAATGAGGTAATCTCCCATGGCCTTGGCCTGCCGCAGCTGGTTGGAGTGGCCGTAATGTACCATGTCATAGCTGTAAAGGAAAAACACATGAAGGAAGAGTATGATTACTCACAAAAGCTCCCTTGTAGTCAGGTACAGTGTCTAGAGCAGGGGTGGGCAACTCCAGGCCTCGAGAGCCGGTGTCCCTGCAGGTTTTAGATGTGTCCTTGAACCAACACAGCTGATTTAAATGGCTAAATTAGCTCCTCAACATGTCCTGTTCTCCAGAGGCCTGGTAACAAACAAATCATGTGATTCAGGTGTGTTGACCCAAGGTGAGATCTAAAACCCGCAGGACACCGGCCCTCGAGGCCTGGAATTGCCCACCCCTGGTCTAGAGAGATGAAGTAAAGCATCAAGCTTGAATTAGAGCAAGAAGATCTGGCAGCTGTTCATTGCATAACTCCTCTTCAAAATACCGTATTTCTTTTATTATTCCTCGTCATAACAAGTAAGCCAAGAACTTTTTGGTGAGCAAGATAAAAGCTGGGTGATATGTTTTAATTTTGAAAACAATGAATGACAATCTTTTGAATCTTTTTTTGGCTCCTTTGAAAACTTGGATGTCAGATCGTCTTCATGCCCTACGGATTAAAGTGAAATAAAGCGCATTAATAAAAGGAGTTTTAATTCATGGATTGTAACATTTAAAAAAATACTAGTATGTATTTATACATTTACAAGGTTCTTTTAATATAAATCAGTTGGTATCAACCACAAACGTATTTAATCAAAGTCTCAAAAATTACAAACAAAATGTCAGTGGGTGTGTGGTTTCGCTTCCTCTTCTCTCCTCCCCTTGCAGGATGCCATCTGTACATAATTAGATTAACACATATTGGACACTAAGATTGTAACACAGTAATCTAGCATAGTGATCGAGAACAGATGGGCATTAGCCCTCCATTGCTATCACTACTGCCAACAGTTGACATCCTGTTTTTCTTTCTGATCTACTCTGAATGTGATATGTTGGCGCTGATATAAACAACAGAGTAAGCATGTACTCTGATGAAGGAAACTGCAGGTAACACAGAAAATGAATTGAGGTGGATTAAGATTAAAGTACGTTAAATGAGCCGCTCCTCGTTTTTTTATGTTTAGCTTCTACTGAGCCAAAGGGGTCTTAAGCAATAGTTAGCAATAATTAGTTTGGCAACTTTTAAATGTTTCTGCATGACAGTAATCCCCCCAAAAAAACTCCACAATAAAAGACTATCAGTTATAGATTGACATTCCCATTACCAGATTGCAACATTATTGAAGCAGTGTGGGATCATCTTGATGGACAAAAGAAAATAACATTATTGTATTTTATATAAACTTTATACACTATTGTATTACACATTTGCATTCTCATGAGGAAATCCCAGAACAGCACTATGAATAGCATCCTAAAAAAATCAATAAGAAACCAGCTCCGCCAGGGCAGAAACAGATCCCGTGTTGTTCTGTGATGTCAGTCTACACAGTTAGGCTACGAATAGCCTGCACTGCACTGAGCATTGACAAGAGATTTTAAAAAGTAACCAGAATTTTGATCGTGATCACTGCTCACTAAAACTAAACACACTAAAAAAAAACTCATCAGGAATTAATTTTGTGTTTGTGTCATGTGCTACCGATCTGCGGAAACAAGATCAACGTGTGCAGGCGCTGAAGGAACAGAACTGGCCGTGAGAAAGTGACACGGGAGCATTTGGAGGTGAATGATATGAGATGAAAACTGAGACCCGGACAGTGACAGGAATAATGCTTTTACAGGTGCTAAACTATCTTATAACATGTGACCATATTCCTCTTGTATTTTTTAGGAGGAGTGGATCATCAAGCGTATCACTGGAGGATGATGAAATATTAATGAGTGTACTCTGTTAGGAGACACCCAAACTGCACCTAAGCTTCTCAGTATGAATAACAAACATCTCTGTACAAAAGTGTAGAAAATAGTGGATCTGTAAAGATCATCATCTTCCTTTGGTTTAAATGGACTCTAATGCCACAGTGTATGAGAGGAGATATTAGAAGTATAATACCTGAATAAACAGTGTTACATACACTCACTCGTATGGACACGAATGTTAATTTTGAGCTGTTAATAATTTCTTTGAACAGTTCTTTTTTCCAGGGTAGAAAAATACAGCATAGATTTTTAATGACTTCAGAGTTGGGTCAACACAGGGTCAAAAGTATAAATACAGTCAAATAACTTATTAGTGGTACTGAAGGTTCTATAATGTCTTTTAGCTTGACAAGTCAAGACCTATTAACTTCTTGTTAGTGAACATGTTTCACTAGAACAGGCAGTTTCTTTTGAAAAAATTCAAATTCAACTAAATTTGCAGCTGCTCGCGTAGGCATGTTTCTATGTGAGCAGCTGCAGTGATGACTAATTCACTTCTCCAAATGTCTTCTGGAGAAACGGTTAATTATCAGACAAGACAAAAATTGAACTATTTGGCCACAATGACGGGGTAAGTTTGGACGAGTAAAGATTAGTACCACTGTACCAAATTTCATGCATGGAGGTGGTAGCATCGTGCTCAGGGGGTGTTTTGCAGCCAGTGGTACTGGTACATTGCACAAATTGAATAAAATAATGAAAAAAACTCCCTCCAAATTCTTTAACTTTATCTCAACTCAGCAGCTAGATGGTTGAAACTTGGACAAATTAGTGTTCCAGTGGGATAATGATTCTAAACACATCAAAACTTGTTTTAGAATAAAGTAGGCTATCACTGAGCTTCTGAAATGGTCTTAACAATGCCCAGACTTCAACTCTATTGAAAATTTGTGGACTAGACTTAAAAGGCAGATCTGTGCCAAGAAACCAATCGATTTAAATGAACTCGGCAAATTCTGTCGAGGAGAGTACTCAAATATCCAACCACAATTATAGAAGAAACTTGTTGATGGCTACCAGAAGCATGTGGTTAACGTGTGACTTGCTGAGGGACATTTAGCCAGATATTAGTGGGGCTTTATGTATATATTTGACCTGTATGTGTGCATACATGCATAGAAAGTATGAAATAAATTTAATCTGGCGCCCAAAATATAAATAATTAAAGATGTATAGTGTACAATCATTACATGCTGGAGAAAGAAAAGTTCAAAGAAATCATTAAATCCACAAAATTAACAAAATTGACATCCATGCCCATGATGAGTGTATGTAAACGTCTGATTACAATTTATGAGGCTGACTGATTAAAAATTCAGTGGTTATCTCTCAGGACCAACAGTCTCAGATAATCCTGGGATGAATGAACACACCAGTACTTTACAAAGGCTTTGAATAACCACTTTATAGTCTTTCTTCTACCTCAGCAGATAGTGGAAATAGACTTTACACTCTTCCTTGATGATGCCTGTTTGACAATTGATCTTTAGCCCCGGTCACCTTCTTTCACAGTGACAAATAAGAACAGAGAGAATCAAAAGGGAGAAAAAGACGGTGCAGGGTCAGAAATATCTCAGCAGTTGAACTGAATGTGCACTTTCCTTGGACTTTTTCCTCACAAGCTGCTGACACAGCAGGATATCAGTAGGAACATGGCGATGTACTGTACGGTCAGCCTTCGGGGAACAATGTGCTCAGTGAGAGGCACGGCCGCACAAGCTGTGGACGGCCTGAGCAGGTGTGGGCTGGAGGGGTTAAGGGGGTTAATGACAAGAGCTCTGTTGGCATTGGCTCTCTGTGCATGCTCACCCCACCGGTTAATATTCCGGCATCCCAAATATTCTGCAACATACCATCAAACAGCTACACAAAAATGGCAGGATTTCTACAAGAGAAAGCCACCATAATCCTTGCCTTCATACACAGAAACTCAAAACATCTATTTTGCCGCCGCAGCACGACACCACATCAAAGTTCGGTCTTTCTACCAGTGGAGACATTTGACAGCAAGCTTTTTTTTTCCTCAGTTAATTGTGCTATTTGTGTAGTGAAAAATGCCCATTATAACTACAAACGAACACCTTCATCATATGGCTTTTTTTCATTATATTTTCACACATTTGCGGAGGTGACAACAGCTAACATGAGAAATTTCTTGTGAAATGTTTTCACTTCATCAGCTGTTTGCAGCTCTTTTTAAACATTTTATCACATTTTCTAAGAAATCGGACTTCAATACAGAGTTCAATATGCTCCCTGTTTATTCTTAAGCTATGGACCTTGGTGTGAACAGCCACGTTTTTTTTTCACACGGAGGTCAATGGAATGGAAAAGGCTGGGCTGTTGTCGAGTTTTTCAAATTCCATGAGAACCGCAAACAAAATTCCATCTGCATCCATTGTTTCTGGGATGGACATGGATAAGTCTATAACCCCTCTAATACACCCATAGTTATAGAGGAGTATGGATTAATGGGAAATGTGTCTTTTACTAAAAAAACCTTTGGCAATCAATATGCAACGTTTTATGTTCTGTTGAGCTGGCGATGGCAAACAGATATTCCCAGCACATGCTCTGAAGGGGAGTTAGTTTCACTGTGGGCTCACCCAAAAGTGCCAAGGTGACATGTCTGAAATACTAAAAGGCTGACCAACAACCATGAGTGCTTCTAAAATAACATTTTCATACTTCAGATTCACACTGAACACCTCTGTGCTCGTTGCGTGACTGGTTACGACAATTAACTGTTACTATCAGAGCTCAGCTGCTCTTACTGGAGGGCTAAGTGATTTACTTGGATATTTTAACACCACCAGCTTAATTAAATTATTTAAAACCGGAGTTACTGTTTTACTTCTCAGTCTGACTGTTGTTTGTGTACTGTATACTCTATATATCATATTTAAAAGTGTGACATTAGAGCTAAAGAAGCAGAGCAAGCAAAAATCGAACTTTGTGCTGTCATGTACATGTTTGCTGTTCTGCAAGACAAGAGCTACGATTCATATCTGTGATCATATGAATCCATTACCTGTATTACATCAAAGAATGCACAAATAATTATATCATAAATCAGATAGGAATTTTTGTTATTCCATTACGTCACACCGAAGCAGACACCCCGTTTTACAGCTGTCATTAAGGAGGCGTTACAGTTATTCCGAGTCAAGATAAGGATAAGTGTCCTGGGATGTTTCTCTTTTAATTGCCTCTTACCCAAACTAAGGCACATGTGATTGTAATAAGCGTAATTCTTCAGGTTTCTCAGAGAAACTCTTCACTTGCCTCTTTTTGCCATTTAATACTTTACACACACAATTTCTTTTTCTACTCCATAGAAAAAAAAATCTTTAAAATGAAAGTAAGATCAATACCAACTGGTCACTGCTACAAGACCAGTAAATACACCTAGTAATGATAGGAGGTTGCAGTAAACTGTAAGTAGATATAATAGTAATCAATTAACTACTTTGGTTTGTCCTCTTGGCTTCTCACATGACCTCTTCAAAATCCAGCATAAAGTGAACTACTCTACAGACTCTGGTCACGGTTAAATGGTTATGAGCAAAGGCAGCTGCAAAGATCACATCTGTGCTGATGTTCTAATAATGTCCTTACTGAGAAGAGCCCTAAAACTGGGCATGATGACGTGGTTGACCGATAGCAGGGTATACACTTTAAGCAGCATCCCCACTCAAGAAGTTGTGTGCATGCTGATACGAGTGGAGAATGAAGCAGCAGCGCTGTGAGCGTCCTGTAACCTGCAGCAGGCCTGTCCAGCAGCAGGTATAACGCTGCCACATCCAATGAAACGTGCTCGATGCAAACAGTGAGCATAACCACAATGCCGTGGTATCTTCATCACGCATTTAAGAACTCACCAGCCATCGCACCACACCCGGATTCTTCGCCTTCTCTTCTCCGGACTGCAAGCTGTAGCGCCGGGGGTCGTGCCTGCGTCTTTCCCGGCTGCTGTGTTCACTTGGTGGTGGTTGTGGTGATGCCCGTTCTTGATCATTGTGGATGTGCTGACTGTGCTGAATTTGCAGCCCGGAGCGGGAGACGGACTCTCGTCAAATGAGGCGGTTACCGGACCGTGTCGGTTCGTGCGTGTCCCGTTTCAGCAGGACAGCCGGTGTCTGTATCAGCAGCGGGGAGGCAGCAGCAGTAGTGCGTTGCGCCAATGCCTCCTCTACCGGCGACGCAGAGACGCACGACGACCTTTGCGTCAAGTTGATCAAAAACGCGGATGAACCAGAGAGGAAAGGAAGACCATTAATAAAACCCGGTGTGTCACATCGCCGCGCGTTGGTTTTATTTTGAAAAATCTGGCTCACAGCTCCACGTTTATTGAGGCTCACTTGACAGAGGTCGCATCGTACGATGGTGCCGCGTCCGACACATTGTTACATAATAGCGGCGTTTTCCACCGTCAGGTGACGAGATCTGGATTCCAATATAAAATAGCAGCCTCTGCGTCTTTGATGAGCGGAGAGGTCATGATAAGCTTCGCTCTATATCCCCAGTAAACTTTGTTTTGCTCGCAATTATCTCTGCATAAATAACAATAATAATTATAATAAAGATAAGAATTAAAAGATTTTTGTAGACACTGTAATATTTTATTTTCCCCCCATTAAAATTCGAAAAACCTTTTTTAAATAAGCTATAGCAGCCAATTTTATTGAAAAATACGACCATCTGATTTCATAAATCTGTAGTTTACTCAAATTTAAACTAATTAATTTTCTTTATTATCCTTATGCATCCAAGCTCGCTAAATATTGCACTTTACAGCTGTTATATTTATCATGGTGTCATCTGTTCATTCCACTTTGATGATTTTAGCTGTGGGTTGTACCGTGTCTAATGACTTGTCCAAGCTCATTTAGCAGGGGCAGTATATCAATAAAGGTCTCAGCACTGTCAGCAGATTTTCACAACAGTACCTACAGATGCATGCCTGGGTGGATGGCTAAAGATTTACGACAGAAGCGATGCATTAGATTGTAAGTGCTCCTAATATACATAGAGTTGGGTTATAACAGAAACTAACCACCTACCCCGCACCACAGTAGTAACGAGGCTACAAGACAAAGTGCTCAAAGTCTATAGCATACTCCCATTTTCTCAGTTAAATTTGTTTTGTAAAACATTGCATAATTAAATGACTTCACTTTATATGCCTGGTAAACACTGGGAAATCCTCCTGTTTAGAAGTGCTGTCATTTTATGGGGGAAACCCAGTTAAATCATATAAAGGCTTTAACACTGATATGCCAGCAGAGGGAAACCCAAGCCCACACATTTCTGAACAGGTGCATGCTCCAGAAAGACAGTTTTACTCATTATATTCAATACCCTGGCTTCCATCTTTAGCTGATTTGAATGTTTCAATCAGGGTAGGAAAGGGTGTTAAGTATTTGTCTTATAGCTGGGATTGCAACTTTGATAAGTCTTAATGGTTATGGAGATTTTTGCAGTTAACTCACATGCACCACCATAACAATCTTCACTGATTAGAAGGAGGGGACATATACATGTATTGTGTCATGGTGGTCTTTGTAGAGAAGAGTCCCTTGCTCAGCTTTGGCAGTGCATATGTGTTACATCAATGGCCTCACTGACGGCATTGGCAACATTAATTGTACAGCAGGTTGCGGTCTAAGAACTGGGGCAGGCACCTGCTGCAGAAGTGGGTAAAGATGAAGAATGCTGTCCTAGATTGCCCACCAGCTCACCTTAGCCCATCCTGCCAAATTAATCAACTCTTCAGAGGCCGTATGCTTGTCTGGGGCAGGCATCCAAGGAGGGGAGAGGAGCCTGTTTTAATGCACAGGTCACGCAGACCTGTAGAAGCCTCCTCCATTTAAAAGAACTAAAGAACAATACAGGCACTGGGGTTTACACATGCCCTGCAGGATGGTATGGCAAGATGTAGTTTGTCTTCAGCCATCTGTCTCTTTGTCTTTGAATGTTCTCTCATGAGATGCATTTTGACTGCGCGGGGGTTGAAGCGCTGCTGAGGAGGCTGATGTTTGATGAGGTGCACTGAGACGAGGGGTAGGGGTGGGGGGGATTTAGAAGCTCCATAGGGAGCTGAGATGACTAACTCACTACTCCTCCTAATCTAGGACAAGCACACCTAGACATCCTTCATGACTCTAATGTTTTACTCGTGTCGGGCCAAAAATATGTCCACTGAGGTTAGCCAAAGTGGGTCGCCCAACGGCTTTTTTTGGATCACAGAAAAAGAAATTGTGCCATCTAAATGATCGCTGTCTTCTAAAACCCACCCTGGATGGCAAAAAGCCTTCCCCGCCAGTTTATTTTTAAAAGTATCAAACTGGGTCAATGACGCCACAGAATATGACAAAACCTAATTTCGACACTTTTTAAACGCCTTAAATGACAGAGTAGTAGTGCTGAAAACCCTTTTCCAAAACATTTTATTGGTCTTATAGAAAATAAAGTAAGCTGTATCAACAAACATACAATATATACATCAATAACTTAGACACCTCAGAGAATCACATTTAAATCCACAGTTGTTACTGTATATATGAATACATAGTACTTATCTACAGATTGCAAAAGTACAATAATTTAATTTATAAATAGTTACAATTAACTATTGTCTGTTTTCATACAAAGTACTGCAATATTTTATTACAACCCATACAGAAAAATAACAAAACAGATTATTAACTTTGTATTACTCGCTTTAGTCAGATTTGTATACCTTTGAAACACAGACCCACTCCATAGAGAAGAGGGAAAAAAACCTGCACAGTCAACCATTTACAAAGCATAACTTCATGAAAAAAGCCAATGTCTTGAGAGCTATTAAAAATCAACTGCCACACAAGTGCTGCTATTTATCCTCTAACATGTTGCTCAAACAAATACAAAAAACAAACAAACAAAAAACAAAACAAGAAAAAGTCAAAAACTAATTAAAAAGGAAATCTGCAGAACAAATTACAGTGTTAAGATCAATTTCAAAATCACACGCACGACACATAATGAGAACAGAAATGTTGTGGATGATGCTACAGCAAAACAATGAGCATTAACGACTGGTGTAGCAGCAGAGGAACTTCAACCGTACACAAACGCGCACACACACACACACACACACACACACACA